TCCTCAAAATGGAAAGGAGAATTAAAAGTTATGTCCTGCACTGGGGACGGCTCTAAGGGTCCCTTTTTCTAGGGGCTGGCTTTGGAAAACAGAGCATCTGTAGATGACGAGACTTGCAAGTGCACAACAGTTTCTTCTAGTCCCTTGGACACTGAGCTGGCCCATGAGAAATAAAGACTTAATCATTTACCGTAATTAAGCTTAAGAGCTGAAGAAGCCTATGAAGCACTATCTTCAAATCATGTCTTTATCAAGAGACACATCCAGGGAGAACAAGTAGCCCAGTCCACTGCCTAACAGAACACAGCCCCAAGTCAAAATAAATAAATAATGGAGAAAGATCTGAGGCACAAATAAACTACTGTGCTTAAAACCAGAATTCTAGGCATCAGGAATTGGGCAGAAAAGCTGGTGAAGGAGGTTTTTAAATGCTGCAGGTAGCTAGAGACAGACTTCAACTCCAGCATGTTGCTTCTCTGTGTGCTCACTATATAGTCTCCTTTCTGCTGAGAGGACAGATGAAGTTTCACTGGTGTTTCCAGGAGACCTTAATGGAGTTATGCACCAAACACTTTTCAATTGCCACTGGCTCCAGGTCCCTGATCGTCCCAGACCCTTTGCAACCACCCAGACTTGCATTAACGACACTAAGATTAGCAGTAGGATCTCTACACTGACACTTGCAGTGGTTTAGACCAGATCCCAGATCGGTTTGTAAAATACTCATCTGTGGCGGCCTGCTCTGGAGAAGCACAGGGAATCTCCCAGAAAGTTTCAGGTGTCACCACAGCAAAAGTGAAAGGAACAGGATAAGGATTCAGCTCAGTGGTTTTGTGCTTTCACGCTGAATGGCATTTCACGGCTGAATGGCATTTGCACTGGTGCAGTCTTTATCATCTAGGAGAGCAATGCAGACTTGATATCTGCAACTAATCTGTTACTTGTAATAGGCGAGTGGAAGTATTTTAAAGTTAGAATAAGAATAAAATTATCCATTAACATTCCTGCACAATGACTAAAGAGGGGTCTCCCCTCCTCCTGTTCTGTGGGTTTCTCAGAGTGAGAGGCAGCCAGCTGTTTGGAAACGGGCTGTTGATAATGCTGCAGAGTAAGACACAGGGTATTATAAGTCAATTAAAGATGTATTAAGAAAGGGAAAGAGAGTAGGAGGTACTGATCTTCTGAATCCATCTGTTTCACCCTTCTTGCAGGACAAGTAAACTGGAACTTCCAGATCCTCCAAGAGAGACCAGAAACAAATAACCAGAATATGAATACTCCATGCTTCAGAAGAGCACGGCTTTTGCTAGATGTGCTCCTACACCCCGCTCACATCACTTGTGCATGATAAGCTTCATTGTTAAACATGCTCAGGGAAATAACACAAGCATGCAAAAAAAAAAAAAGCTAATTGCAATCTGTGGTCACTGTAAAGAGGTCAGGAGAGACCTGAACTATCTGAAGCCAAGATGCGGGTAATAGAAATCAGCTGCCAGGACCAGGCTGCATCACCTATGAACTCTGATAGAGCCCACACATGAAACCAGAAGTGCTGCTCTGGTTGCAACAAAAAAATAAAAATAAAAATAAAAATCTAAGGTGGCAAATGCAACACCAGAAGAGAGCTTCAGGAGAAATCCTGGGAGCTACAAGCACTTTGTGCCAAGCAAGACAGTAAGGACTGCAAAAGAGCAGAGTGGAATATACAGGAGAAAAGTGCAACGTATTGTACTGTGTTTTCTAAAAATACAAAAATAATACCTTTGCAAAATGGATGAGGCAATAGAAAAAGTGTGGAAAAAGAAAAGAAAAAAGTAGACTTTGCAGTGGAGACAGTCTATCAACCAGGTACTACTGGGCTGCTGCTCAATAGGCACAGGGACAACCTGAAGAAGGTATGGACAGAGAGGGGATGAAGAGAGGAAATGTACAGGACTTTCACATCCAAAACCAACAAGGAAGGGGTACAGAAGTGTCATGTAGCACAGAGCCTGAAGAAAGTGACAGGTGAAATAAGTGTCATATCAAAACTATTCATCAACACAGGCAGGCTCTGCAGTCACTACTGCTGCTCAGAGAATTTTTTGGACCATGGATGTCTTCTGGAGACAAGAGACCAGTGCTCCTCAGAGGTCAGGGAAGCACACGGATTAAGGACAGAACAGAGAACAAAACCCAGAGACATCTGTGTGTGATTTTATAACTCAATGAGATGCCTACATCCAGATTTCCACATGCAGTCTTACTGAAAAGGATATTCTAGGAAAATAATGGTGAAGGACAGCCAGAGGTACTGTCCACCATCCAAATGGAGAGGGAACAGTCAGTCATTATTCCATATAGTCCAAGGCCTGAGGGACACACACAAACAGGATCAGTCAGAGGGTATAACACTGCAAAAGGAAACATCTTTTCTGCTCAACACACTGTAAGATGGCAGAACTCATTGCTGCAGGACTTTGCTGGAGTCAAGACTGTGAGAGGGCTCAGAAAGAATCAAACCGCCTTCAAGACAATAGATCTAACAATGGCTATTAATCACCATTATCTAATGGAAACTTGCAGGCCTGCACATCCCCCAAAGTGCAAATGCTGGAAGCTGGGACTGTAGCTCAGGCATGCAGCAGTCTTGGGTTCTCTGCTTCTGGCACATTGGGCTTCAGATGCTGGCTTGAGTGGCTTTGGTATGGCCACATGGGATAGTTTTGTATCGAACAGGCTGATTACCCCTGCAGCAACCAAGTCATTCTTTCCAGTTTGTTTCCCCCTTTTGAAATCACTTCTGAATGTGCCTTTATATCAAGTGAGGCTGGGAGAGGTTCAAAACAAAGGAAAGCAAAATTCAGCAGGGCCACTCATGGCTCCGTCACTCCAGCTGGACTCTAAAACCAGAGGAGAGGACTCCATACATCCAATGACTGTGCAGCACCTATCACAGCAAAGCCCTAAGCAGGAAGACCTTCAGCTTGAAGTTCGTCATATCTATTCAGAAGGGTGTCACTAGATAAAATTGATAATCCTACTGATGGAGAACACAATTTATTGAGGCTCAGAGCTGCATTCAGGCACCTCTGAGTGCATCCCCTTTGCCTCAGTACTCAGGCAAGGAGCTCCAGGAGCCCGTGCCCTGACACCATAACCCCAGCACGAAGGCAAAAAATCCCAGGAGTTCTCCTTGCAACAGGAGAAAAGCAGAGCAAGCTCTTCCTCCAGCATCTCGAGAAAGCTTGTTTCACAGGAAGTTCTGCCAGGCTTTCTTCAATATTTCCTAAGCCAGGCCTGTCCCTTTGCTTTCCCCACCAAGGAACATTTTGTTCGAAGACAGCTAATGACCCATTTACATTTGCCTACAAAAAGATATTGGGTTATTTCTCCCCTCCTCTTCCACCACTTGGCTGCCTCTGTTTTGCAGGGCTTGTCAGGACTAATTACATTGACTTTTTCATTGAGGGAATTTTTCTTCCTTGCATGTGTTTTCTGTTCTGAGCATAGCACAGTTTCAACAGGTTTTTGATGCTGTTGTTGTTGTTGTTCTTGACAAGAGCTGCTGTTATGAAACACATCCTCATGGCCCTGCCAAGGCCTCAGCCAACTGAGAACCAGCTCCATTTGACGCAGGAGCAAATTGAGACCATTTGGTTCTTGGGGCACTGGACATCATATTCAATCTGCAAGGGAGCTGGGAAAAGCACTGAGTTTCTCCTCCCTCCCCTTCCCTTTCAATACACTCATTTGTTCCTGCAGAAACAGTCTTTTTTTTTTCTTTTTTTTTTTCCCCAGTCTTCCCTTTTCCCTAATTTTATCCATATGCAGTCCAAGATGGACATGGAAAATTACCTGCCCGTTACTCTCAGCAGATGCCTGCCATCACTTAGATCAATAAATTAGGCTTGGGATCACAAGCTGTCCCTGGCAGCCTGTTTCCAAGGGCAAAGCTACTCGGACAGCAGTGAAACCAGAGCAGCCCAGGACCAAGTCTCAGAGCCAACAGAGGGTAGGGACCGATCACGGAGCCAAACTCTGCAGGAGAGCACCCTCTCGTCCAGCACACTGGGGGATTTGAGGACTAGGGGAAGAGACTGCAGATCCCCTACCAAGTGAGACCTTCTCCCACACGGAGAGAGAGTGCCTCAGCCTCGAGGGGGCCCACATCAAGATCACAGCTGTTACGTGCATTCTGGGCAATCGTTTCTCTTCCCCACTCTGCTCCCCAAAGCAGCAGCTCATTTATCAGGGAAACACTCCAGCAAGACAAGGTGGTGGGAGAGCTGGACCACAGCTGTGCTCCCGGCAGCCCTCCGCTCAGAGGGGACTTGCCATGCACCATCCCAACAGCTTGGTGGGAGTGAGGCTTACATCCCACACTCGCCAGGCCAGCGAGCCCAGAGTTTTTCAATTCATGTAAATGTTTCTATCCTGGAGAAGATAAAAGGGATGCCCTGGATAGAGAGCAGTGCCACTGCAAGCACAGTGGGTGGGAGATGACCGGGTAGGAGGAGTACCACACAAGCTACAGAAAGTGACAAGGACAAGCAATGTAGTTTTCTTTCTGCCCTTGCACAGAACATGGGAGCAAAGCCTCCCTTCCAGGGCCTGCCACAGGAAAGCATTTCAGCGTACTGACTGCCCCAGAGTAGACACTCTTCAGCTTGGACCTCAGAGATTTTGTCCAGACTTCTGTAGTGTGGAGCTCCAGGCAGCTCCGTGAGGTTTGGACACCAGCTAACTCCTATATTGAACTGACTGCTCTGCTCTGTCACCAGGGAGGTACATGCAATGTCCTCATCCCTCAGCAGCGTGGCACCCTGCAGAGTCCAGCAGACCCCAAATACCACTCCATACCCAAGAGGATGATCTTTCATCCCCTTGAGACCCACTTCACAGAATGACAGACTGGCTGAGATGAGGAGGGACCCCCAGGCCCACCCGCCCAGTAGCTCAGGGTCCCTCCTGTCACGGGGAGCCCATAGCTGGCCCCAGTACTGCAGGCGCAGACTTACCTGTGCTGAGCAGAGGGGAAGGATCGCCTCCCTTGACCTGCTGGCAGTCCTTTGCCTGATGCAGTCCTGTTGGCAGCAAAGGGCACATTGCTGACTTGCGTTCAGTTTGGTGTCTCCCAGGCCTCCAGGTCCATTTCTGCAAGGCTGCCTTTCAACTATGTAGCCACCAGCATGCCCCCATGCCTAGGGCTGTTCCTGCTTAGGGGCAGGGCACTGCCCTACTCCATGTTGAGCTTTATAAGGTTTCTTGATTCAGCCATTTCTCCAGCTTGTCCAGGTCCCTCTGGCTTATCAGCCACTCCTCCCAGCTTGTTGCCATCAGCAAGCCTGATGAGGGTGCACTCCACCCCCTTGCACAGGTGATTAATAAAGTTGCAATTAACAGAATTGGACCCAGTTGTGACTCCTGGGGGTACACTGCATGTTACTGGCTAAACTTTGCACTCCTGGCTGCTACTCTCTGGGCCAAGCCATTCAACCAGGGTTTGAAGCACTTCACTGTCCACCCATCCAGCCCATACATCAACAGCTTCTCCAGGAGGATCTTCAGGGGCATAGCATGAAAAGCCTTAGCAAAATCCCTTAAGCCATTGATGTCCCCTCATCTGTCAGGCTGGTCATTTCATTGCAGAAGCTTATCAAGTTTGTCAAGGATGACTTCCACTTGCTGAAGCCACACTGATGAGTCCGGGTGATTTTCTTCTCCTTCATCTGCCTGTTAAATGGTTTCTAGGATGAGATGCTCCATATCCTTGCCAGGGATTGAGTTGAAGTTGTCTGGCATGTAGTTCTCTGGGTCCTCCCTCTTGTCTTTCTTGAAGATAGGAGTGACATACGCTTTCCTCCAGTCTTCATGCACTCCTGGCAGTTGCCATGGTCTGTTAAGGATTATGGAGGGAGGTGTCACAATGACATCTGCCCTCAGTTTGCTCACGTATTCCCTGGCCTCTTCTACCAAGGTCTTCCTTTCATTCTGCCCCCAGTAAATTCCTGGATTTCCACTTAAAGGCTGCCCCAAACTGTCTGCAGACCAAACGGACCAGGCAGCCAGAGGGCATGGCTTAGAGTTGTACACCCATTGCATGAATAGGGCAGCAAGAAAAATCTGCCGTGGGATGACCCCAGGCAGCCCCCACACCCTACCAAGAGTCCTGGCACCATTTTAATCAATGGGGATAACCCATTTTACCACACATCCTCTCCCGCCAGCCCAGTGAAAAGAAAACCCCAAAACAGTAGGTGGGAGGTTGAGTTATTTAACCCGAGGCACCGAGTACTCAGCCAACACGCCAAGCGGTAGCGCCCGCGTTCAGCCCCATGCAAGCCACGGGGAGTGGACATGAGTGAGTGCCTCAGCAGCCCCTCTGTGGTCAGGGCCCTTAGAGCACAGAGCAGTAATTACATTTTAAAACCTCCAGTTCTAATAAAACCCATCCTCACACGCTCAGAAGACTGGAATATAACTTTCAGTTGCTCCCAAGCCCTTCTATTATTTTCATCAGTTACAAAATTGTTGGATAATTGCAATAAATATGTATGCGGGGGCTGGCTGGCTTTTTGTGTTTTGTTTTTTTTTTTTCTTTTTCACCCTCATAATCAATTTTTTAATCGCAGCGGTGGCAGCTCTGGGGAGGGGTGACAGGGCTGTGGCTGCTCACCACCCAGGTACAGCAGAGGTAGCAGTGGCTTCACCCTGCTGGAAGCCATGGCAGCAGCCCACACAGGTCCTTCTTTCTGCCTCGCTGCTAAATACTCCTTTAGAAACTCTCTGTATTATTTCCCTGCAATGAATCAAGGGCCCTTCACCACAAAGCGGTGATTCTGCAGGGTGGAGGGAATAATTACATCCCCCCTCGTGCTGCTTCACCTCTTCTGGAGAAGATGTGAGTGTAAAGGCCAGGCTGTAAATCATTTTCACACATGTTAAAGCAACTGTTTTTGCCAGAGAAGCTGGGGAAATAAGGAAGTCCATGTATATTGTCCCCACCCTTTTTTACATTAAAAAAAATAAAATAAAAAATAAACCTCCCCCTCTCTCTCCAAAATATTCAGAAGGCGAAGGGCGCAGGCTGGTCCCCACGTCTCAGGCAGCCTGACAGAGGTCTCACCGCCCTTCCTGCCGCCCGCCAGGTCACCTGAAGGACACGGTGCTGTTCGTGCAGGTCCCCTCATCGCCAGGCCCAGTGTCACTCCCTGCTGCCTTCAAAACACACGCTCAAGGGATGTGCTAAACTAAGACCTAAGCCTCGGATTAGATCCTCCCTGCAGAAAGGCATGGCTGGGACAGGATATCCTCCTCGTGACATTTTAAATGAGGCCTTCCTCCCCAAAAACATGACAAGTTCCTCTGAACTCTAATCCTAACCTGGCCTCTCTGACCCACTTCAAAACTGCCTCCAAGCTTCACCACGCTGCAGAGATGGCTTGCTGATGGGAGGAACGTCTCTGAGCTCCAGGTCTGCTCTCTGCTGATTTGCGCAAACACAACTGCAGAAAAGATACACAATCCATCGCCCCTCTCCCCACATAAGCCAATAGCTAAAACATTTCTTGTGTATCAGCAAAGGCTGTGCCATCAAAGAGAAAACAAATACAAGATTTCTCTGAAATGGATAATTTGCATTATCCAGTGGATAATCCTCTAGTACTGTCCTTACAGGTTTATTTGTTGCAGATACCCCATCTGGAAAGAAATGAGCATTGCTGCATGTAAGACATTTTCTGGAGCATTGATTGTATTTATTTCATCTATCCCAAACCCATTTTAAAAACTCCAGCAGCAAAATCAACCGATCAAGTTTTTTTGTTTTTGGTTTTTTGTTTTTTTTTTTTTTTTTTTTTGTGTGAGAAACAAAAACTTCAGAAATTCAAGTAAGTTTATTTGAAGGCTGATAGAAAAGCTGTGCAGCTTACAAGCTTTTAGTTTGACAGGAACATGAAAAGAGGAGATGAAACCATTGAAATGAAAATTTAAGAGTGGGGCCAGTGATAGGTGTATTATCACACACTGAGCATTGATTAATGGTAGTACTTTCAGTACTCACACCATTCCTCTTCTGACCAGGGCTAGGCAAGTGGCATGGGTGAGTGCCAGCCATGCACCAACCAGCCCCATCTCTGGCTCAAGCCCAAAGGAGGATTTTGGTCCTCGAGTGCTGTTGTCATGTGAGAAGCTCATCACAAGCCTCATCCCTTGGGTTTGCTGCTGGGGATGAACAGTTCCTCTTCCTTGCACTCAAAGCACCTCGGAGGGACAGGCACACGGTGCACCAAGAAAGTCAAATCATTATGTGCTCCTGCAAGCTCCTGGGCTCCAGGAGGCCACCCTTTTTTTTGGCAGGGTCCTCTACCCCCTGCCTCAGATGGAGTGGGTCTCCCTGGGATAGCTTCTACAAGGACATCAGCTAACACAGCTGCCCTGATCTCCCACAGCTGGGAACCCAGCCTGGCTCATTTCAGTGGAAATCTCATTAAGGAGGAGGTAGAGTTAAGTGACAAAGAAATCAACCTTATCGAGGTCCAGCTACGGCTAGTCAGAGGAAATGCAGCAGCCAGAGCACATGCCAATATTGTTAATGCCTTTTTTGTCTGTATCTTAGAGAGGGTTTATTTTGGCAGCTGCAAAGTGTGTTAAAAAAACATGTCCTTGTTGTATAGATTGCATAGTCCATTGGAGAGAGCCAAAGCTACTGGAACCAGGCAGCATGGGGATGCTCTGACAGCTGACGGCAGAGCCGAATCCTCACCTGGCAGAGGTCCACCCGGCCTCAGCAAATCCCATGGCACCGCACCACGTTACACTAACTGAGCATCTGGCCCCAATTTGTTGTTTGGTCTGATCATTGTTTGTTTTTTTCTGCCATCTCCTGTGGGTTTCTCATGTTTAATCTACAACAAAGGTGGCTTTTTTGGGTGGATCCACGGATCCACCATATTATCACCAAACTCAGCCATGCTCCGGAGCAGTGCAGCAGGTCGTGGTGGGCTCTCCAGGAGCCAAGCTTTCCTCTTTGTGTCAGTACAGCTTTCTCAGCTCTAATAGAACCAAAACTCAGAAGGGACCAGGCAGTTCAGAAGTCTCCCAGGAGCAAACTGTGAGGTGAGAGGTCTCGATTTGCCTGTGACAATGTGAGCAAGCTTTTTCTCCTCTCCCAAAACTTCTTACACACACACAAAGAAAGAAAGAAAGAAAGAAAGAAAGAAAAAATAAAATAAAATAAAATAAAAAAAAAAAGAAGAAGAAAAAAAACATTGTTGTAGAGGGCTAAAAAATGAACCAAATGTCTTGTGGTGCACAGTCACTGGATGGCAGCGACTTACCAATTAATCAGTAAACAATGACAGATTTGAGTAGTTGGACAAAACTCAACCACACAAGCATTTCTTGCATGCCAGAGAGAGATTGCTCTGGAGGCATGATGTCTTTCCCAGCGCCCACACACAGCAGACTGGAGTCTACTGGCCATCAGTGATGGAGTCCTCAGGATACCATCCTCGGCAGGTCTGTCCCTGCTGGAGAGGTCGAGGTGGTGGCCCTCATTCAGATGGGAAATATGTGCAATGGGCTCCCCTTTGTCCCTCATCAGTCTGTTACAAAACTTGGTTCTTACATACTTTCATCCAGGAGGTAACCATCTTATATCTTGGTGTGCTTACCAAAGGGACAGCTGTGTTGGCACAGGTGGATGGACACCTTTGTGAGCCCATGGGAAGGTGTGTACAGGAGCCTCCTCTCCGTGTGAGCTGTGGATATCCCAGTGTACATGAATCTGGGGGTGAGGTGCCCTTGCCACACTGGGGTTCCCCTGTCTTGCAGTGTGTGGGAATCTCTGCTCACAAACCCCCTCCGTGGCAGGGCCAAACACATCCTTCTCTTTGGCTGCAGGAGAAGACACCAAGTCTGACCAAAACACCTCCTTGCAGAATGCAAGTAAAGCTTTAAAGGAAGTGACCTGTCAAGAAAATGAAAAGGAGCAGCTAGGTCAGCAGTAAATAGGGCACGCTTGGCACGTCTCAAGCCACACACCGCTCGGGCCATCTGGTGACAGCGGGCGGGCTGGTGCATCCACAAGAGGCTTACTCTGGGCAGCAGCATGTGACAAAAGCTCTCACATCCCTGCGAGACAGTGCAGGTGATGCTGATGAGGGTAAGCACTGCTGACAACACCCTTCCCAAGCAGCTGGCACAGCTTTCACTGAACAGCCATCTCTCTTTCCCACTTGACGTAACCAGGGGCCCAGGCCATGGCCTAGCCAACTCCAAGACCCACCATGTGCCTTCACATCCTCTGACCGATCTAAGACGGCCGTCACCGTGCGTGTCCCTTCTCCTTGTCCCCGTGTGACACCTGGGCCCTGCTACAGATCCACCCAGTCTCAGCTGAGGCCAGCTTTGGCCTCGTGGCAGGTGGCTACACCTCAACCACACAGCCTGGCACGGGGACGGCTCTGGTTGCCTGCACCCCGCTGCATTTTAGCTTTAGCGTGGCTCTGCCAGCTCTGCAGGCAGGAAGACCCTGCACCCTGCCTGAAGAGATGGGGAGCAGGGATTCCCTCCGCTGCATTTTTGCATTTTCAGCACACGAATCTGCATCTTGGGCTCCCGCACCTCGGCCGTGCAAGCAGCGAAGGAGCTGAAACTGTACCCATCGTGCTGCTATTGGTCGCTCAGCCCTCTCTCCCCACACTTTCCCTCCTGCCGCCCTCACTTCATTCCACATTTTTCACATTTCTGGGGATTGTTTTTCACCTCCCAATGCTTTCTGGAGCTTGCCCAATAGAAATAAATGCAGCCTGACCATCGCTGGTGGGGCGAGGGGCGGGAGGTTACACTCTCGGTAAATTTAGCCTCACTGACAGATTTATCTCCCTTAATCAGAACCAAGTGTAGTTAGCAAGGTTTGTTTTTGTAGACTGAACTTCCCCAAAGTCAGTGCACACACACCTCCCCCTCCCTCCCCAATTACATAAATGCTTTTAGTTAAGAGCTAATTTCCTGGAGCGTGTGCCAATGCTCTCTCCAAGCAAACAAAACAGAGACGACACACAGAAAACTGTGTTTTGCACTGGGAGGGAAGTTTGTGCTAATAAAAGTCCGGGAATGAGAAGGTGCCAAAGGGCTCTTTTCCCCATTTCTCCTCCTTCATTTGCCCACGTAAGACAGAGCAGAGACAGGGAGCACCTTTCCAGCCTACATTTGCAGGCTGCCCTGGTAGATGGTCTTGTAAACCTCCTCAAAGAGCCTTGAGCAGGAGCTTGGAGGGGTCAGTGTGCTGAGGGGTGCTGTGTTCTCAATGCTGTTTGAATCTTCTCCTTCTGCAGAATCCCATTGCACCCAGTCAAGGAGATATTTCCAGCCAGAAACTGAAACATGCCTTTCATTAGGCAGGCGAGCCTGGCAGATTCACCAGCAGATCCGCAGAGCTTCTCCATTTAAATCAAGGCTGTCTGCCCGCATCCTTTCCTCATCCTACGCTCCCACGCTGGCACCACCGAACCGTCCCGTCCCATCCCACCACAGCTTGGATCAGCGGGGGGCTGATCGAGCCAGGGGGTGGCCCCACAGTCCTCTCCTGGGAACAGTTTGGAGGCTGTGTGGTGGGAGAGACTTTGGGGACACCTTCCTTCACGGGGCTCCTCCTCTACATCTGTCCATGATCTTGCTCTAGCAGAAGTTCCTTTCATTTTCCTTCCCATCGCGCTACTAATTAAGAGCATTTCTAACATGTGCCAGCCTGGAAAGGAATGTGTTGTAATGACCATTTTTCTTCTGCTTCATTTTAAAGGATTGGTTTTTATTGAGCTCCTAAAACATTACCAAGCCCATAAAGAACAGATCTGAAGAGGAAATCTTGGATTCAGACTCCAGCAAGGTTGAATAAACTTCCATTGGGTTACAGACCATGCCAAGGGCAACCATGACTTCAGCTTCTCTTCATCTCTGCATGTCATGGACAAGAAGCCTGGATAATGTAACTGAGTAATGTTTCTTCCCTGTTTTCTATAGACCATGCTGGTTCCCAGTTAGCAGACTGGTTTTTTTTTTAGGAAAAAATGGGGGGGGCAAGAAATGGGGAGGGAAGCCTAGGCTATCTCTGGTCCCATTAAAATGTTCCCATAGTCATCAAACATTCCTACTGAATGTGTCCTGGAAAGCATTACTGGTTCCATATGCTCTGCGGCACTTTTGGTAGACCAGGGAGTTGATGTGGAAGACAGAGCTGGAGATGAAGCAAGCACTGACATTTACACACTGGTGTCTCTTCTGACTACGTGGCTGGGTCAGGGGCAAAGGACAAAGGACAAGTTGTGGCTTTTTTGTGGGTTTCTGTTTGTTTTGTTTTTGTTTAATTTGGAGACAAAAGAGGAATGAGGTGAAGAGTGGTCATGGATGCAGATACCTAGGGTCTTGCTGGACTCTGTCCTGCCTTTTCCATTGTGTCTGCAAGGCGGGCCTGAGGACACATCTTCCCTTTTCTCATTCATGTGCATTGACTCTTTCCCAAGCAGAGCCTGACGGCCAGGTCCATCTTGCCAAGTCCCCCAATCCCCCAGACTCCCTCGAGGGACAGACATCACAGAATCACGAACTAGGTACTTCCAGCTTGTTCTCTTCCTAAAGCAGATGAGCAATGTGACTCAGAGCAGCCAGCTCTGGTGCAGACAGCCCTGCCTGCCCAGCTCTGTGGTCACACTGCTAAAATCTCAGACCTGTGCAGGGTCTAGCCCCCAGAGCCGCGATTCCTCTGGGGTTCTGCACTCAAAAGGATGAAGAGGGAGATGCGGGCTGAGTTCCTCAAATAGCTCCACAGAGCTCAGCACAGCCCAGCTCGAGAGGGCCTGTAAAGGGATGAGAAGCTGCAGGCTGTGGCATGCAGAAGGACCAGATCTAATCACAGCCCCTTTTGGCTTTCACACATTAATTTGTCTGGGACCCATCTGGACAAAGGCCATCGTTAGAAAAGCAGTCTGCTCTGGCCTCCTCAGCCTGTGGAAGCCATCAGAAAGGGCTGCTTGTGTACTATTAGCTTGCTCTCCCTGGTTTGCTTTCCTTTCTGTCTGGACACAGGAAATGAAGAGGATCTGGGAGGATAAGATAAGGAATGTAATAAATTGATTTCTTATAAATCAGCCCATCTCTGCCTTCCCACTGCTGCCCCTGTTTCTGCTGAAACAGAGTGCAGATGAACTTCAATAGCTTGGTCACACGCAGTTTTTGCTGCTCATCCCCTCCAGCTTCTGCAGCAAGTCCCAGGCAGCTCACTGTCCCTTGTATTTACTGGGAAGCCTTCTCCTTTGAGGGGTATGGTGGTGGGTAACTGGGTACTGAGAGACCCCGTGCCTGCCATTGGATCTGGACTGTGGGCACATCCTATGGTTCTAGGATTATTTGCATCCTGTACTTTTAACACATCATTATCCTAAACTCCATGGCATTTAGAGATCAACTGCTCCCCCAGGTCCAACACAACCAATTAACTCCCATTAATTTCTCAATGGCAATCAAGCAGCTTTGAGGAAGTTGGAGGCACCTGCATCACACCCAGTGCAAGAGGAGCCCCTCCACAGCCTACACTGGGGAAGCCTGCAATTCGGGACACTCAGCCCTTCCCCTAATCTCACCCCCAGCCCACCTGCACCTAGAGGGACTGTGGCATGCCGTGCTGTGCTGTGCCAGATGGCAGAGAGGAGCCATGCCCCATACTTACTCCCACAGCCCAGGTGAAGTCTCCAGTGCCCTGGCCTCCTGGCGCAGCGTGCAGATCGAGGTGGGCTCGTGCTTCCATGAAAATGCCATTACGGTTTGCTTTTCCCATTGGTGCAATTAAGGATGAGTTCTTCTGCTTCCTTTTGCATTTGAAAAAAGTTAGGTCAGGCCAGGAGTGTTGCTCAAGCACAGGCAGCTCGGCTGGGCAGAAAGGAAGGTTACAGCAGCGATGAGGAATTGCAAAAGAGGGAAGAAGCGATGCGGAGGGGAGAAGCGCATTTACATATTTTATGAATTAGCAAGGGCTGAGGTGGAGTCCCTATCCTGTGAGATCTGTAATCCAGACTAGGCATCTTCCTAGGGGAAACTCCCAAGAAACCACCCCAGCGCCTCAGCTCTACAGCCGTTTTTTCTCCCTGCCCTGTTTGGGCGAGCTGAAACCCCATCTGCATTCAGGACAGAGCAGCAGCGTTTGCTGGATTTCAAAGCTCAGCCCACAGCTGCCTGCAGCAGGATGCGAGCAGACCGTGCCCAAGGCTGGGCTCACGAGCTGCCCTGGGTGTCTCTGCACCACGGGCATCGGCACACGCAGAGCAGCTCCTTGCTTCCACTGACAGCCCCCCCTGCCCATCTTCCAGGGGCTGTAACAGACCAGGGACAGGCTGGCATCCAGAGGGTAGATTCCGCTCTGCTTCATGTCAAAATTCCCCTCGTTTCGCCTAGAAAGCAGGCACGCGTGGGGCTATTTTTAACCTCGGTTTATTTTTGCAGGCTTTCCAGCAGTGCCTCTCACACGGCTGCGGGGAGAGCTCCCGGTAATTACAGCGCAGCGTCGCTACATCCACTGCAGCAGGGCAGGGCCCTCGCTGCCCAGCCCCAGGTGCTGGAGGGGGGACCCGTCGCGGCGGGCAGAGTGGCACAGTTTCCCCCGTTACCATGGCAATGCCATCAAGGTTCAGATAATGTTTTCCTCCATCCCAATTTCTGCCGCCGCTTTGTTTCTCCCACTCGGGCTCCGCTGGACACGCTGGGCAGCGGGGAAGGGGCTTGGCCATGGGGCTGCTGTGATGAGAGAGCCGTGGTCGCTTTGCGAGGAGCCCGTGCTTGGGAATAACAGCATCAGGTCCTCTGCCACAACAGGGGCTAGGCTGGAATCAGCAGGCAGACACTAATAAATCCTCTGCTGTCTCTTCTCATTAGACTTAATCACCGGGAAAAACCCAAAAGGCCTGAAACGTTTTCATCAAGCGACAAAGGAGAGAATTTCTCTTTAAAAAAAAAAAAAAAGAAATTGTGTGTGTGGAACCCTTGGCAGGGCTTGGACCCCATTCACAGCCCTACTAGCCAAGCCCCATCCTGCAGGGCAGCCCTACCGGGGGGCACCCCAGGTGGGTGGGAAGCCCCATGGTGGCATCTCCCTGGGGCCACGGTCCCCTCTCACCCAGGTGCTGCTTCGTGGTGGCCTCCAGCCAGCTTCTCCATGGCAACATTGAGACATTTTTTGTAGGTGCATCCCCAAGCTGCCTCTGGAAGGATGCCACCTCTCTGGTGACACAGCCCTTGTCAGGGAATATCCCCCCTGGTCACCCCCAAACGGAGAAGATGGGGGAAGCAGCTAATTAGCAGAGACGGGGCTGGTTCCCCTCCTGAGGAAGGAGACGAGCCTTTTCCAGGCACTGCCAGGTGCTGGTGGGGTTTTCTCCTTGCCATCCTTGATTTACAGGAGTGGTGCTTTGGCAGTTGCACGGAGGAGCTGGAAGATCCCGATTAGCTGATGCTGGGACATCGTTCCAGGAAAGGCAATCCATTTATCAAAGTGCTTGCAGCTCCCCAGTCCAAGGCAGGTGAAGTACTAATAAATACCGAGCAAAGCAAGTGAATCAGACTCCAAAGTAGCTTCATAAATAAAAGGCTATTATATATATATATATAAAAAAAAAAGCACCATGAGGTGCTGGTGCCAACTTACCTTCCCCAGCAGCAGCTCTGGGTGCTGGTATTTTGCACTCCCATTTCACAGGGACAGCCCGCTGGGAGAACTGCTGCTCTTTACCTTGCAAAATCCAAATGGTTGCAGTTGCAAATGGAGATGGAACTGGGCAAAATCCTCCACAGAGTCACATCCAGGCCTGAGGACGTGATCGGGGCTAAGTATGCCAGCTCCACCTGCCCCAGCCGACATCCCCAAGTCCAGGAGCCCATCGCACGCTGTCGGCTGCGCAGACACAGGCCAACTGAAGAGTAAGTGCTGCCTGGCAAAGAAACGAGCTGCTAATTTATTGAAACACTCCGCTAAGTAATTGCATTCGGGTCCCTTCAGCCATCCTGGGTTTGTGCCTTCATGCAGGAGAGAGACTTCAAGGGATGGGACATGAAAGGGAGGGAAAAGCAAAGAGATCTTTGAAGCTGGGGCAGCAGAGCACGCAATCAAACAGAGCAAAGCTCCCAGCTCCCACCCCACAGAGATGAAGCCTCACAGCTCCCATGGACAAGCAATTAAGAAACAAATCAGCTGTGTCTGTTTACAGGGGGCTGCGAAACACCTCTCAGCCTGGTGGCCGTCAAAGCAGGTTCTGCTCTTGAGGGTGCTTGCTCGCAGCTGGCAGCGCATGGGGACAGCCGCTCCCGGCACGTGGGGTGGGTGGATTTTGGCAGGTCCTCGTGGGGTCAGCACAAGGTACAGAGGGACAGGTTGCTTTCAGCTTGCTTTGCAGCACGAGGAAATGCAATGCCTGCCATGACTATAAAACCACGAAGGGAGACCTATAGTGCCACATGTGGACAATTTTCTGAGCATCTGCACAGCCACCTCCAGCCCCCGCTTTGCCCGGTTCCCCAGGCTGCTTGCACAGCTCCTGGGCTCACACGAGGACGTGGTCACTGCTGCGTGAGTCCTGTGACACAAAGAGGGGCTCAGAGCTCTTCTGACCAGAGCTGGCTGGCTTCCCTCCCCCCTCCAAGTGGGTCTCTCCATCCCTCTGTCCCCATCTTCCTCTTGGGCCATCTCCTGGATCAAGGTTGTTGCACAAAGCCGGGGTAATTGCCCTGCCTCGGAGGGCTCCTCTGAAAGTCAGCGCGTTCAAGAAAAGGCGGCTTTGAGGTCCGCTGGTGCCCAGCATTTGGGGCCATCCTGGTTCCGTGCACAGAGCTTGTATTCACGCTCTGCAAACAACAGGGCATTCAGCGAAAATGAAGAGACAGTAAATTCAGAAGTGATGGGAAAAAAAAGGCATCTTTTCACACAATTCGCCTTGGGGAACTCAACGTCACATGATGTGGGCAAGGGCAGGGACTTGGGGGATCAAACAACGGCTGGGCTGACCCTGGGTATTTCTGTTATTTATCCCATGAAATACACTCAGTGCAAATGGGGAGGGACTGCTGAGTAACAGCACATGAGCACCAGAAACCAGTCTGCCTCTTCTGCCTGTAAATCACCACGCCAGAGAAGACTTCCCAAGGGGAGAACATCTATTTTGGAGAAAATGTCCAGGAGCATCCTGGGCACGGGCTGCAGGACTTCTTGCAGCTGCCCCTGAGGCTTTGGATACCAGCTGATGCTACCCTGGACGGGTCAGAAAAAACCTGTGGCACTCCCACGGCAGGGATGGCAGCCAGGACTGACGCCTTCAAGCCTTGAAGCTGTTCCTAGAAGATTTCCCTCTGCACCAGCCCTGCGAGAGGCTGCAGCTGGTGCCAGGCCTGCAGATGGGACCTCCAGCTCCTGGCTTGGTGCCTCCTTCCACCACGGTTCCTGCGTCTACAACAATCAGGTGGTGGATATCAAAAACAGCGCTGGAACAGGGCTGGAAACACGTGAAGGTGTGAACACGTGGTGGTGGTCAGGATAAAACTTGGGCTTGGAAAGACCAGACTTTTTCCCAGTCCTGTCGCATATAAAAGGTTTGAGCTTTTGCTCGAGATGCAATGATTTCTGAGATGCTCAGACATGCTCAGATTTTAAATAGAGTCTGCGAGAGGGACAGAGGCTGGCACTAGGAACTGAGTACAAAACATGCTGTTTCCCTTTTAAACTGCAGAGGGACAGCACAGCGGAAGGCTTAGATCAGAGACTCAGCCCTGCAAGAGCTCGGGTAGTAAAATGTCACCTGCAGAAAATCGCATACCCGAAGCTCCCAAATACCTCCAATTATTCCTGTTAATATTCACGGTATGTTCACACCTCCACCGGGCGCCAGAGCTGCAGGGCCTGGGTCTTGGGCAGGACGGGGCAGGACGGGGACGCTGCTTTCCACGTGGCACCGAGCTGGGAAAGCTGCGGCGAGGGGAGGTCATGTAAACCAACTCCGAGTCACTGCAGGTTTCTTCTTTTTAAAGCCGGTCAGATAAATGTTTTGAGAAGACATATTAAAGCCGTGGCTGCTTTCTCCAGGGAACTATCAGGCTGATTTTATTTGGCCAGAGCACGGTAACAGGGTCAGGCTGTCAGTTTCTATTAAGATTTGGATGTGCGTCACTGAATGGGAAGTGCTTGGCTATATTGCTCCTCATTAGATTGCTTTATGATAAATCTAATCATTAACTTACTACACTTGGCCGATCTGAAGGTTACACGCCTGGCTCTGCAGCACCCCGGCGGGATGCTCACCGACACCAACCCCATGGGGCCGAGCAAACCCCCTGGAGGACACGGCGCTGCCCTGACCACTTCCTTACCCCACTGGGCTGCAGCCACCCCGCACACATGCCCGGGATGCTTTTGGGTGCTCGTGACCCTCACTTTGGCTATTTGGGCCCCCTGGACCAAGCCAGGAGGCTGTCAGAGGGATGGTGCCAGTGTCACGCGGCGAAGGCAGGGCCTGTGTCATGCCTGATGCCACTGCAGGACAGGAGATTTGCTCTGACTGTGTTGGTTTGGCCAGCACAGGGCCCCTGCAGCAGCCCTGGATGCTGGGCTTCATCCACTCGTGCCTGGTCCAAACACATCTGTCTTGCATCCCATTGGCAATCAGGGCTTAGCACAAGTGCTTCCCATCTTCATTTGTTTTTATGATCTCATGAATTTATCAAAGGCAATTAAGCCGCCCCCAGTTGAGGCACCGCAGACGAGCTGCTGGAGCCCTCCTGCTCTCCCAGAGCAGCTTCTCCAGCACGGGGAGGGTTCTCCTGCTCAGGGCTTGGCACCGCCAGCCCAGGCAGACCTTCTGCCTGCAAACCCAGCAGCAGCTCAGCCACGAGCTGTTGGGTCTGTGCCATAGGACCACCTGTCCCGACCACCATCCGAACATCTCGGGGGCACCCAGGGGCGCATCCGAGTGGAGAAGGCACCGGTGGGGAGCTGCAGGCTCTCCTGGGGTGCCGCGGTGGTTTCCCCATGCCCGGGGCTCTCCCTTTCAGGGCTAATTACAGTCAGGGGGAACAACCTCTGTCTTTGTTTGCAGGTGAGGCTGGGCACCGCAGCGGGCGCAGCCGAACGGGGCAGGTTTGGGGCGCGTTATCTCGCCCGAAACCACACACGGAGCTCCCGCCGCAGACAGGAGCAGCCTCCCCGCTCCGGCTGGGCTGCTCCCTCCCAGGCTACAAAGGGGCTGCTAACGCAGTTCAAAGTTCTCCCCGGTACAAAAACCGGTCTTTGAGCGTGATTTGCTTCAGCTCGAAAGCAGCTGAAGCTAATTACACAGCAACGAACTATCACGCTTTAATTTTACTTAGCTCCCCTTGGCCGGGCTGCCGTGAAACGCGGCGGTGTTTGCCAATTCCCTTGCCACCACTGCACGGGCACTTCCAGAGGTGGCACTGCTCAGTGTGGTCCCGGATTAATGCTGCCGTCTGACCCCCGTTTGCACCCCTGCACCCCACACAAGGGGCATGGCTGGCCCAAAGGCCACCACGGTGCACCTCAAAGCCAGGCGGATGGGAAATCCCAGCCTTGCTCACAGCGTGGGCAGCAGGAGCCGAGCTATCAGCACAGCTGAAGCGTGCTCAGAGCCTCAGCAGCCTGCAGCCCCCGGTCCCAGGCCCGTGCTGGCTGCCTCCATCCCCAGACACCGCACGGAGGAGCAGGCTGCATTGCCATCTAATGGGGTGTGCTGGGAAAGCCCCGTGCGCCCGGCTGGAAACCAGCACCATGGGTACACCGGAGGCTTTGCAAGAGGTGGAGACGCTTACCCAGTCATGCTGCACCGGTGGCCGAGATCTTTGTTTAGTCATTCCTGGTCAGGACGTCCCCTGCACATAAAACGGTGCAGGAGGCACAAAGCAAAGAGGACGGGGAGGAGGTGAGCGGGTTATTGTGTGCTCAGAGCTGTGCCAGGACACACTGGCGTGAGGCAACCCCTTGTGACCCAGCGGTATCGCAACCCAGATCTGAGCAGGCAGGAAAAAGCTTTATTGGGTATCAAAGTCGTTTTCCCCTCGCTGCCTCCATGGCTCGTAAACGCTCCTGCCAGCAGAGCGTGTTTAACATTAAGCTCTTGGAGGGAGCAGATGCGTTGTCCAGCTCCACGAGCCTCCTTGCCAAAGCGCTGCGTGCACGCAGGCACCGCGGGGAAGCCACCCCGCAGGGACCCGGTGTGGGTGCAAGGGGCACAGCCAGGAGGGGATGGCATGGATGTGCCAGGACAGTAGGGAAACAGCCGGGCAGAGCTGTAAGGTTTTGCAAGAGCAGCCCCAGACCCACCAGCCTGCATGGCACAGGGCTGGCAGCAGGATTCGGGAGCTACCTCTCTCCAAGATGCATACTGGTATGTTGGTTTGTTTTTTTTTGGTGGTCCTTTGGGGACCCAGGAGTTAGACTCTGATCCTGGTGGGTCCCTTCCCACTCGGATACAGTGTGGTTCTGTGAGCAGCACTGCTGGGGCTGGCAGGAGGGACCTGGCCCCCTGGGGAGCGTTGCACAACACCGCGGGCTGAGCACATCAGGGCTGGAGCGAAGAGGAAGCCGTGTCACGCCTTGGCCACGGTCCTACCACATGCCACACAGGACCCAAGCCCAAAATGTGGCTAACGTGGGCTCCAGCTGCACACCTCGCTCCCACCCTGTCCTACCACGGGAAAGGCAGACCGCCTCAGCCAACACCCCAAAAATGCTCTAATAGGCGTAGATAATCTGCAGGGATCTCTTCTCTCCCGGTTCCCAGCAATGACCCCGGCAGCAGGCAGCTCCTCCTGAACAGAAGATGAAAAACACATCTACATATCAGCGTTAATCCTCAAAAGGAAAACAGACGAGTGAAAGAGCTACTGCTCTGAGTGTCGCAATGGGGACCGGGGCTGCTCTGGGGTGAGGAAACGTGGGCCACCTCTGCAGCAGCCAGGGCTCGCGGGAAGCCAAAGCCAGGACCGACTTCACACTCCTGTCTTGGGCACTGAGGAGAACCAGACCCTGAGCTTCACCCGCATCCAACAGAGAGAAAAGCAACACGGCGGGGTGTCAAGCGCCTCCTTCCTTCCTTCTGCAGATGCTCAGGGCTCCCCTGTAAGCAGGCAGAAACCAGAACTTGCGAGGACAAAAATCAGCCCTGGCTCCCAAGACACCCACAGGTGATGGCAGTGGCCAGCACATGGGCACAGCCATGCCAGGGCTGGACAGGTCTTGCCTGCTTTTATCTTAGCAGTTGTTTGTTCATTATTTTTTTTTTTTGCAAGATCCAATTCCCTTTCTGCAACAGAAACTCCGTGGTGAATTTTAAATGCAAGAATTCGATTCCCAAAAAGGAAATAAACTTCCCCACTAAATAGTGATCTCCATTTGGACTGGATCCTCTCCTAAGCAACAAGAGGAACCAGAAAACAGCAAACCTGTAAATGAGTGGCTCAATAAACCCCGCTTGTATCTGATTTCTGAAGCGCAGAGTGGCATCGCTGTGCTATTCTGGCACCGTAACTCAGCACAGCCCTGCTCCCTGGAGAACTGGCACCCCACTTTCTGCCAGGGCTGCACGAGTGCTGAAAGGAGGGTGCCTGCAGCAATGAGATAAGGAACATGGAGAAACCAAAACCTGAGCTCTGCCCCAGCTTTTAGCCCGCAGCTGGCAGGAACGGTGCACCAGCAACGCATCCTGGCCATGCACCCGCCTTGCTCCTCCTCAGACCTCTGCTCGGGGCCGGGAGTGCCCTCGCTGAGCACCCCCCGTGTCTGGGACCGTGTCTCCAGGCCATGTGGATCCGCGAGCAGGTGGAGGAATGAGGCGTGGTGTCTGCCTCTCCCAGGGGGAACCGCAGCGGGTGCCACGGGTTGGGAAGCCCAGCCATCTCTGAAGATGCCGGGCACCCAGCGGGCTAATTGAGACTAAGTTTTCTCAAGCACTCGAGGTCTGGGTATCACTTGTACCTGGAGCTGTTGTAGGGGAGGGTGGAGAACACCAGCAGGAATCAAACAGTCGGGAGTGGTCCCATCAGATAGAAGCCGCTAGGCTGGGCTCCAGCAGCTGCAGAGGAATTACACAGCACCGGCAGGCAACACTTCTGTTTTGATCTCGCTGTGAATATGTATTTGGCAAATAAAACTTAAAGCTGGGAACTGAAGCAGAGCTGGCAGGTTTCATGCCATCCCGCCGCCTGCAGTGCTCCCCCGATGACGCTATCTGATCAGCAGCTATGTGAAGAATGCTGCCCTCTTATCAGGGTTAAAAGGGTCAGATCAAATTAAGTGCGTCTCACCGAATGACTGCGAGGGGAAATAGTTTCCCTTTCTCAGAAAAGCTCTCTAGTACGGCGCCTGAGCTCCTCTCTCCAGCACGATAGGTATCTCTAACCCATGACACCAAAACTGGAGCACAGAGCTCTCCTGGGTGGCCACGGCCCAAGGAAGGTTGCTCATCACTGCAGGAGGAAGGCACAGCGCCTGCTCCCCACGGGACAAGCTGGGGCTGCAGAGCTAAACCCGATCCCATCTTTCAGGCAGAGTTTAGTAAAACCACTCGCTTCACAGGTGGACAAGCTGAGAAGGGCCGCAGGAAGCAACAGCATCAGAAGGGCTCGGATTTGGGAGATCCCAGGGCCACGCACCCTCAAGAAGCTCACCCAAGATGATGTACAAGTCAACAGAAAGCCCCTTTTATCAATCTTTAGGCCTCATTTTCCTCCAAGACCTCCTTTAACATAGACAGCTTTTTGAGGCTCTTCAGAAATGCTTGCACTACGCCTGAGCACACAGGTTTTTGGGGAGCAGCCTGCCCAGTGACGGTGTGCTCTCCCACCTCTCCTTTGCTCCAGTTGCTTCCATTAACTTCTGCACAAATGATTCATTTTGCCCAGTCTATTGTAAACAGCATTCAAAGCCAGCTGGAATTTGTTGTGCATCTAAATTACACTTGCTCAGCAAGCTCTTCAACAGAAGGGATTCATTTCAGTTTCTGTCTGTGGTAGGGGCACAGCACCGCGCGTCTTCAGTTCTATTTCAGCAGCGACTCCTTCCCTTCGCAGAACTCAAGCCGCGTGGTTAACATCCAAACCTCACTGCGATTAAAACATGAAAGCTACACCTTGGAGGAGGAAGGGGAAGGAGGAGGAACTCACTGGATCTCTAATTGTAGCTCTGGGGCAAATGTCACTGCTGAAGAATACACCGTGGGTAGGGGCAGGTGAGGAATCAATAGGTCAGGCTGAGGTCCGGAGCGCACGCAGGTCCCTTCAGCGCAGAGGCTGACCTTGTCACAGCAGGGGCAGCTACATCTGTCCCCAGCTGACAAGGAAGCTATTAATGGACGTGTTGGGAAAGCACCAGCACTCCGCAGCCAACCACAGCAACAGCCAGAGGGGGGTGGTTAAGAGAGCAAATCTGAAATGCGGTAAGCCAAGCTGTTGGAGTGGGACAGGTGTTGGCACGAAATCGCCGGTTCCCCAGGCTGAGAGGCAGCATCACCACCTCGTCCAAGGCTGCAGGGCGTCAAGGTTTTGTTTTGGTGGCAGGACCTGTTCTCACCTCCTTTCTCTCTTTCTTTCCACCCCTCTTGTGCAAGCGGATGGCGAAC